GCTTTGTTCAAAGAAGGACAAAGCGCTAAAAAAACAAAGTGTTTAGGTTATTCGACTAAATAGACTATTTAGGCAAACAGGCAAACAGCCTCATGGTCAGAAAATGAAACAACCTAATAGGTAGAATTTAACCTTCAAAACAAAATAGCCTAATAGATAGAAATTCGCCTAACCTGAGCTTTTGGGTTGTTTCATTTTTGATCATTTTCTCATCAGTTTTCATGACATTGACATTTTATATATTGGTTTTCTCATGTTTCATCAGTTTCCTCCTCAATTTTATCATTTCGTCATTGTTGTCACACAGTTTTGTGACTTTTCACCATTTTCTCATCAATTTTCAGGATTTTGATGGTTTCTTTTCTTTACATTGTTCTTTATCATATTTCATAATGTTTGTCGTTTGTTTTTTGAGATGATGTTTTTCAGAAAAATGGGAGAAATGCGTTTTCGCGTCGTCAGTAAGCAGTTTTTTTGGTGCTTACCACCATTCCGGAACTATATAAAAAAATGGTTTAGATTCAGTCCAGAGTCCAGAATTTCATGTTTATGTCATTTCGATTTCATATATGATATGTTGTTATTCAAAAACGTCAATCTAGTTTAGATTCACTTGGCAATCAATTTAGGATTGATTTCAATTTACTTCCACATCAATATAAATAGGTGTATATATATATATGTATATTTTTGCAGTGGTAATCACAATCCAAAGCCAAAAAGCCAAAGTTGAAAAGCATGTATATATATATATCTGTCACAGTTTTCTATCTGTGATTTTTGTGTCTGGTTGACATGAAAAACTACTAATCCAAACAGGGTCGGGAATGTTTCATTCTAACGGACTTTGACCTGAGATCTGTCTGCTTATGTCTGCTTTTTTCTCCCCTCAAACTCATGAATCCATCAACAGCCAGTGGCCAATGTGGTAGGCACGCATGACAGCACTAGTTTCCAAAAAAATCAGACTTTAAAGCAAAATTTTGCACTATTCAGTTTCCAAATATGCCAAACTGATAGGTACCCTAAAGACATTTACGACACCCTTCAATTAACATCCTTGGGAATTCATCATTCGAAAAACAATGACGTTCCTCGATAGGCATTTCTGGCACGCTCTAGTTTTCATTTTGTTGGAGTAACATTTTCCACACATAGTGTGTATGGACCATTGTCCTTTCAGGAGAACCATGCACTGCTACGTCCAGTGAACCTATCAAGTTTCAACCCTGGTGACGGACGACAAACCTCAGAACCCGCGCCGGAGCCTCCGGTACCACCACACCGGAACCTATAGAATAAGAAAAAAACCCGAGAAACACTGATTGCAGCTTGTGCGCGTGCAGCAGGTAGGTAGTATGTAAGTAGCGTGTGGTTTCCAAAATGCTGCAAATAATGTGCAGCTGGCAAGTTGTGGGCTTTGGGCTGCTGCGAACTAGTGCAGGAAACAATGGATGCTATGCGTACTGTGTGTTTTATTTAGTTTCTGCGCCGTGCCACTGAACACTACTGCGCCTTGCTGCAAGTGGGAGGTAAATGGGAAGGTTTATTGAATAATAATTATTGAGCTCAAGGACCCACACTCTGGTTCAAGTCGCCGAGGAACTGCTCAGGGGGTGAAGGGGTTTTGGCAGGTGGGTGTTCTTACTATATAAAAAATATGTATCAAATATATTTCATTAAAAGAGATCAAATACATGTCTATATATATATATATTTATTTATTTATTTCATAAACATGATAACAAGAAAAAAGGGGAAAACCTAAAGTGCGAAGCAAAGCATAATATTCATATAGATTTTGTTTGATTCATTGACCTTGGAAATCCAGACTACCCCCATTTGGGGAAGCGCGCGAATGATGGAACCTTGGAACCTTGGAACCAGAAGAAATGGAAGGTCCCCCAATAAAATGCATCTTTGCCAGTCAAGTTGATGGGATTTCTTGCCATAAAAATTGATTGGTCATGAATAAACTTTTTTTTGGGGCCATTTATATGGTAATGGGTTGTTTATGATTAATTATGGGTTACTTATGATTAAATGATTTTTTTGCTGATTGCTCCTCCTATAATGAAGATACCGATGCATGCAGATCTTTTGGAATTTCTGAAGTGTTGCAAAGTGTTGCCCGTGGTTTTCAAAATGTTGCAAATACTTTGCACGTAGCTACTGCCAATGGTATTCCAAAAGAACAAAAAAAGTAATTTAAGATCACCGGAGCTAATTTCCTGTATAAATTTCTATCTGCAAGAATTGATTTCACATGTATGTATATATATATACATTAAATTGCAAAAGTTCACAAAACCATGTGGTTTGTTACGTTTTGTGATTTTGAGGGCGTAATTCAATTACAAACGTAAAGTTTTTTCTGTTTTTAATTTGCCTGTCTGTCAAAACCCAAAAAGTGTTCCGAACGTAACCTTCATTTTTTTTGTTACGTCAATTTTCTATCTGCAAGTGGTTCACTATATTTTTTAATCTACTTGTTACTTACTTATTTTTTTTACCTACATATTTACTTTATTATATTATAATAAATTGTTGGTCTAATATTTTTTTCGTATATTTCATTATATATTGTTCTGTCTTATTATGTTTCCTGGTTTTATTTTTTATTGTATTATATTATATAATATTTTATTATTGTTTGTTATTTTAATTGAAATTAATTGAATAGATTTTTCTATATACACATAATTATCATGCAATTTGTTAGTACGTATGTATTTTATACCTTTTCCACCCTTTTGCCTAGCCATTCTGGCGTTGCAGCAGGTCTTTACATAAATTGCACCCCGCCTTTAGAAGAAACAAGCAAACAAACAAACAAACAAGGTATCAAATTTGTATATAAGAATGTTGGGTTGAAATATGGATCTTGTCCCAAAAGGGGAGGGGCAGGTGCATTTTTCAAGGCAAATGCCTTTTTCAAAGCACAGATTGTGACCCCAAAAGGTGGCAGTCCAAAATCAAAACCAAAACAACGTTTGAGGTCCAAAATCAAAAGCAAAAAATCAGCATACATGTTTTGTTTTGACTTAAAATCAATTGTGAAAACCAAGAAATTGATTGTAACCAATACCCGATGCTCAGGGAAATATTGAAGAGACGATTTACGTTTTTTTTGGAGTGTTTTTGATTTTCGATTTGATTTTTGAATCAAATGTTTGTTGAAAATTCTATTAAAAAAGTGTAGGTTGAAATTCCAAAATTTCAATTGAAATTAATGTTTGCTTTGTTTTCGATTGACAAATTCAACCTCGATTCAAAAAAAATCAATCTAGGATGCTCTGGGTTACCTAACTGCTGACTAGCTTTGCTGCTACTATCACTGCTACCATTAATATTACTGCTACTACCTACTACTAGTCGCGTAAATATAAAATACCCTCGTAAAGCTAAAATTTTGAAAATACTTAAAACTAAAAAGGGGGAAAAAGTGAAAACCTTAAACGCCGGTAGTAGGAGGAGTAGTAGTAGTAGTAGTAGTAGTTGTAGTAGTAGTAGTAGTAGTGGAAACTTTGACTTAACTAGTACTAGTACTAGTAGTAGTAGTAGTAGTCGTCATCGTCGTCGTCGTCGTCGTCGTCGTATTGAATCAATTCTTGTTTACTCGTAAAACCAATTTTTTTTCTACAAAAAAGGGGAAAAATGTGGATGCTTAAACGGCGGCCAGATTGGGTAGTCGCCTCCAACTATGTGCTGTACCCTAAGCACATGGAAGGTGAAGCTAAATCCACGCAATGCAGCGGGCATGGTCTGGGCAGCTGGTGCGGTCCTCGCTGACGCGGGCACAGTGCTGCTGGATGCTGAGGCTACAAGTGGTGTGGCATCCTCCGCCAATCGACCTGTGCAATGTTTTAGTTTTAGCGCATTGAAAACCCACACCTCAAACTTATTCCCGGGCAAAAGTAGGTGTCTCTCCAAACAAAGCAACATCAACCCCAAATGTTTGAACTATCAGCCAAGGTACATCTCTTCGGTGGTGGAGGCATAACCGGAGGAGCTGCTCGCCATGGTGGTAGCAAAGCCGCAGTGCCCGACAAAGCAGGAGCAGTCTTGGGCGATGTCGTTGTCAGCCTCCGTCCTACCATGCAATGTTGGCAGACTCTAACGGCTCTCTGAAATTTGCAACTTATTTGCTCTAGACTTTGGGGACGCTATCGCCTTCCCAGTCGCCTCCCCGCGGCCCAAACAAAAACATTGAAATCCAATCCTTCCAACATGAGTTCGTGCATCATTCTCCTTGCCAGTTGGACACCAAAAACACTGCCTTCCACGCGCAGCTGCCTCTGCCCTTTTCTCGCTCTCAAGGAGATCTTGCACTTGGTCTCCGTTTCCACAGCTTGCCGCTGCGCGGTGGTTACGGTGTGTCGCTCACCAGTCACCACTTCAACGTGGACATGCGACATGGCAGGGACACAGCGATGGCTTGCCGGGCGTGAGATTCTGAGGACAGGATGTTGTCAAAAATCAGAACAGTGGGTCTATGTGGGTCTTATGTTGCTTAGCGCAGGGACTAGTTTCTACAATTTTAGGAGCTTGTTTACATTTATATTGTTTGCTGGTCTTGCAAATATGACGGCACTATGCTTCTGAAACATGCGAACTGTGGAACCTACGTGGCCCCGCACAATTCCTTAGAAGACCTGTTCTGTTTACGCCTTTGTCAGCGCTCCACCATCGCAACACACAGTGGCGTTTCCCATGCACTTGCTGCGCTGCTGCGACAAAACCAGCATGCCCTAAGCCTTATGCCTCCGTCATGGCCACACGACAATGTAATTTCAAAAAATCAAATTCCCAAAATGGGGCGGCTAGCCAGCCCCAAATTGCCGCGCTAATACGTGCGGGTGGCTAGCCAACCCCCCTTAAGGCAACAAAACCGGTTCGACTACCAAGTGCTCCTACAGGGATTGATTCCTGCCGCGCGCAGCGCGCGCTCCATGTTGCGCGCCCTGTTGGACACTGCACAGCGCACACACCGGTGCTGCTTAGCGCAACAATGCCAAAGCAGCTTCACACTTACCCATGTCAAAGATCTCTGCCACTCCACGTTTCCTTATAGCTGGTTCCACCCCCTGCATGTTATTCTCAAACAGCTCTCGCAGAAGTGTCACAACTGCGGCTTCATGCTCAGGAGGCGGCTTTACGCCAGTCCAGGTGCCACCTTGAGGGCCTAAGGAAGCCAACCCTGCCTCAGCTCCCAAGCGAAACACATTGCGACCCTTGCAAATTCCTCTGCCTGAGCACAGTGCCTCGATTGTGACATCCAGTATCACCCGCACAGTCACCCTTGAGGCTGCTGACTTCAGTCAGTACAGAAGTATGTTCTTTGCCAAAGGAACATTGCTGGAGAAGTCATTGCGACGCAAGTCTTTCTCTCGCCGCAACCTCTTTGCTGGCGGGGCCTGATCGTCCACAGCCTCCTGCGTCAAGGGAACTGCCGTCTCTGGCGCCGGACACGCTTGCGTAGGCACGAGAGGATCCACCATGAACACATCTCGACATCCATCCACATTTGCAGCTTCCCCCCGCAGAAGACGGTGGATGCACGATATGGCATCATCACATGCATCCTGGTCCAGCTTCGGCTTCTCTGCTCCACTGGTTGGTACCCAAGACCGGACAGCAGCAAGATCAGCTTCAGCATCCCAACTGGTGAGCCTCGCGCTAGCATGCTATATGGTTGAAGTTCATGCCGCGACTTGTGTTTACAATTAGAGGGCTCCTTCAAGGCTACGTGGACCAACTTATTCTAGATTATCTCTTGCAACTTTGCCAGCTGCCTTGCAGACTCTCTACAACATGACGGCAAAACAGACACGCAAGACATTTTGATTTATCTAAGTGCACTTGCGCTGCTCAGGCCTGTTGCAGCAAATGACAAAATCCTCGTCATCCTCGGCATACCCAACTAGAGCGTAGCGGCCGCAGCCCATGACGACGAAACCCATCATCGCTAAAATCAAAAGGTCTAGAAGTCTGGCCCGCACTTGTGCCGCGGTGTGCTCTGCATTCAAGGCGAAAGCCTTCAAGGTCCATGTCTTCAAAGAAAGACACTCCAATGCAGCTGCAATATTCCTTAGCAAGTTCCAAACCCCGGTCATGACAGCAGCCTATCCCGAATTGCACCCCTGCTTCTTGGGCAGCCCAACCGCGCACCTGCCCAATGCCGACCCTTTGACTCTAACTACCCGCCCTGTGAATACAACGAGGCACACATGCGCACGCGTCTCATGCGAAATGAGGCCGGCAGCTTCTTTCACGCAAGGACGAGGTAAGAGAATCATGTTGCTGCGCTCAGTCTTG